CGGGATTGTTTGGGGTGTTCGCTCTTCGGCGACTTGGAGGCGAATGGAACGCGCAGGCGCCATCTGTCGGCCACGAACCCGCGCCCCGCTCCCGTTGGGAGGGAGCGCCATCTAGCGGCAGAGAGCTGCCACTGTAATGCCTGGCTTCCAGCCCTCCCACCCAGCGTCCTCCTCCCAGTCGCCGACCAATCGTGGCCGACTGACTCCCGGGTTCAGCGTCTCCGACGCCGCCCGCAAACCAGGCGCCGGCAGGGGCGCGCCGCCGAGTGGGGTAAACAAGGTGCCGTGCTCGCGCCTGACTTACTCTGTCGTTTGGCCGCGCTTCCGCCGCGGACCGGATCGAGCCGCGGTTTTTCTGTCTTTAGTGGGGTGTCGACGGGAGGCCGGTAGGAATATCCGGCGGAGCCTGGGCCGTGGGAATTCAGAGGCCGGCCGGGCTCGCTCGGGGACTCGTTCCCTGGCCCCTCCGCCCCTCGCGCGGCCCTAAGGTGGCAGCCCAGTCGGGCATCACTCTTCGAAGTCCCCTCTTCTGACACGCCCCGGCGAGGGGCCTGCGGCCCTCCATCCCGGACCACCAATGTCCCCTTGTCCCTACCCCTTCCCACCAAAAGAACCCAACTCGCTTAACTCTGGCACCTGATCCTAAGCGGTTTAATGAGAATGCTTGGACTGGATCGGGGGCGGAGGAGAGGTTGGTTTTGTTTTGTTTTTTGCTTCGGGTGTGGAGAGAGAGTGAGCTGATTCTCTACCAGGAAGACCTGGCCCTGGAAAAGAAAAATTTTTTTGCTTTACAACCCACTGGTCCCGTCTCCGAGAAAACGTGGTCTGTGTCTCCAGGGTCTAGGAGTCCTAAGGAACTGGACTAGTAGGCTAGGCCGGGCGCTCGCCCAATTTGTTCGCCACTCTCCAGGCAGGGGAAGAGATAGGAATGAGCGAAGTGGAGGGAAATCGAAATTTGGGCAAAAGGAGTGGAGGGGGACCTACCCCGCCTCCACCGCGCATCCACTGCCTTCCTGGGCGGGGGCGGCCGCGCGAAATTGTTAGGAATTTTGGTTACCTCGCATCCTGCCTTCCCAACCCTCCCCCAAGATGTTTGAAGTGCAAAAAGAACCTTTCTGCTCCTCCGACCCCTGTTAACTCAAGTCCTTGTCAGCCTTATTTTTTTGTTTGTTTCAAATCCAGTGTAGTGAACCTTTGACCGCCAAGAGTTCTTTACTCAGGGGAGAAAAACTCGGGAAGGGCCTATCCCCTCAAAAGCTCCGCTTTTTCCTTGGACAGGAAGAAGTGACCTATTACAATGTCTCCATTGCTGTTGACAGAAGTTCGTAGATTCATAAAATAAGTGTTTGCTTAAGACGTCTTCGTTTGTGTTCCTTTTTTGAAATTTTCGATAAAATATTTAATATTAAATTACATTTCAATTAGAATGGAATAAAACGTATTCATGACAAATTTTCCAAATGAGAAATAGGCAAGCCCTGTGTAAATAACGAAGCCTTCACTCCGATATCACTTCTAACATTCCTAATGCAAAATAACGATTATTTTCAGTCCTTAAATTATATTCCTTCTGTATCTCATTAGTTTCTTTCTCTTCCTCTCTGCTTATTGTTTTTTCTGCAACTTTACAAAAAGAGTTATAGTATATTTAATCAACTGGACAATAAAAGTTAAACAGAAACGTCTAAATGTCAATAACAAGAAGTAAAATCTGAGACGTTTTTACTTACCTCTAAAGCTTTGAGGAGTGGAATACTATTCAAAATAAATTTCCATTTCTTTTATAGACCATCTTTGGTAGAATGGTATACAGTTTAATAGATTCGAGTTACAGAATGATGCAGCTAGAACATTAAATAGTAATGGAAAATTTACAGAGTTATATAAGTTAATGCAAAATTCCACTTGAAGTAATAGAAAAATTGGGCCGTGTACCAAGTCATTTTTACATTAATTTAGTTCAATTGTGCCAAGTTAATCTCAATTGATATTAAATGATTTCCTGTCTTAATATTAACTGAAAACCACTAATTTTCTGCTCCAAACATCACATTTATAGTACATAGTACAAATGGTTTTTTATCTATTTTATAAATTTGTGTTTTCAGTTAATTATCTGTGTAGCAACCAAGATTCTAAACAATTTTATGCTTAGAACAAAACTAAAAAGCTCTTCTGTTTAGCAGATGTGCTTTCATTTTGTGAAAAATACCACTGAAAATTAATAACAAACTGATGTAACATCAGAAATAAATTTTGTAGCATTTTTGTACTGATATTTAAGAATATTTTACAGTAACCATTTTTTTTTGTTAAAGCTCTTTCAAAAAATATATATCAAGACTTCACTATGTACAGAATGCTAGGAGCCCCAGTCCTAAGGAGTGGAGTTTATTTCGTGGGGTACTGAAAAACCTAAACAATTCACCTTTTGAATGTGAGAACGAACCGAGAAAATGCCATCAAATGAAATATGTAACTGATGGAAAATAATCTTGTTTGTAACATGTCCTTCATGAGAAAACCATTATAAAGGCTTTGGGTGCCTAATAAGAAATAGTGAAAACGGGGAGTTGAATAGTTAAAACTTGGAAACATTTGATACTATATAAAGGGCAAAACACTATTTGATGCACAAATGTTCTGGTCACTAGAGATTTATATGCCACAGTATAGCAAAGATAATCCTCCCGGTTTACCACAGGAAGACTAAAACATCCCATAGTTCTCTTTGCTCTAACTCTGTGCAAATGGAACAAACTTCTGATTATAAATTAGGTTTTCCAGATAATCTTCTCCTCTGAACAACATACGTATATTTTTTATATTTTCAAACACCATTCTAAACATAACCTAAAACCCAGAAACCTAAAGGTAGATAAATAAATTTGAGTCCACAGAAATTAAAAATTGTATATACCAAGATACCAGAAACAAAGTCAAAAGATAAGCTAGGAACTGTGAGAAAATAATTTGCTATATGGATGAAAAAAGCTAATTTATTTAAGATACAGAGAACTATCAAAATCAACAAGGTAAAATTTAAAATTCCAGTAGAAAAATGGACAAAGGAGCCGGGCACGGTGGCTCACACCTGTAATCCCAGCACTTTGGGAGGCTGAGTTGGGTGGATCACCTGAGGTCAGGGGTTCGA